AGTTATTACCGGGATACCTCAGGGATATGTTTAAAAGACAATATTCAAAATAAAGCTGCTAGTAATGGCAAATCAATTGATCAACAAACAAAGAGAGATAGTAGAGGGCAACGAGTGACTAGCTCCCTTAAGGTTTACTATACAAATAGTAGGAGTCTAAGAAATAAGATAGATGAGCTAAAATTACTTGCAAGTGTAGGTAATATAGATATTACTGGTATAACAGAGACCTGGTTCAACCTGAAAGATAGAGAAATGCCTTCTGAATGCAACATACAGGGTTATAAACTATTCCACACTGATAGGGTCAACAGGAAAGGTGGTGGTGTGGCTATGTATGTCAGAAAAAATTTAAATTGTTGTCTTAGACATGATATAAGATTAGAAACATCGAACACAGAATCGGTTTGGCTTCAGTTTCTCGAGGGCCGTGAAAATTAATTTTGGGTGTGATTATAGGCCCCCAAACCTTGATAGGGATGCAGTAAGCTGTTATGGACGAAATTCATAAGGCATCTAAATATGAAAATGTTGTGATAATGGGAGATTTTAACTTTAGACAAACTGATTGGAACATTATGACAGGAAATCTTGAGTCTAGTGACTTTCTTGATACGGTTCAGGATTGCTTTTTAGAACAGGTTGTGACAGAACCAACTAGAGGAAACAATCTGCTTGACTTGGTTCTTGCCAACAAAGATTCACAAATTTAAATAATCTTGAGGTTAATGATGAGCTTGGGGAAAGTGATCACAAATCACTTAGTTTAAATTTATATCATGGAATTACCCAGATAACTGCAATCAAATCTGTCCCAGATTTTCGCTTGGCCGACTTCATGGGACTGAAAAATTACTTGGGTGGGCTAAATTGGGATGTCCTAACTATGGGTCAAGTAGGTGATCTTGGTTGCCAATATGACTTTTTCAGAGCATAGTTCTAGCTGCCCAGACAACTTTTGTTCCGAGTAGGGAAATTAGATCTAACAAAAATGATCCCAAATGGATGAACAATAGATTAAAAAATCTCATTGGTCAAAAGAGAGGCATATATAGGCGTATCAAAAGAGGGGATGGGCAGTTAAGAAATCAATATATTCAATTAAAGAGAGAAATAAAGAAAGGAATAAGAAAAGCAAAAAGAGATTGAGGCTAAGGTCGCAAGGGATTCAAAGACTAACCCAAAAGGGTTCTTTCAGGTATACAGAAGTAAGATTAGGGACAAGATTGGCCCACTTAAGAGTAACTCTAGTCAGATCACTGACAGTGATAAGGATATGTGTGAAATTCTAAATACCTACTTCCTCTCAGTTTTCACCCAGGAAAATACTAGCGATATTCCTGAAATAGATTACGTAGAACAGGATAATAAACTATGTACGATTGCGGTAACTAGTGACATGGTCCTCAGACGAATAGAGAAACTAAAACCTAACAAATCCCCAGGTCCTGATGAACTGTTTGCAAGGGTGTTAAAGGAATGTAAAGAGGAACTTAGCATACCTTTGGCTAATCTTTTTAACATATCACTACAAACTGGCATAGTGCCTGATAAGTGGAAAATGGCAAATGTAATACCTATTTACAAGGCAGGTGACAGGTCCTTGGCTTCGAACTATAGACCAATAAGCCTTACCTCCATAGTGGGAAAATTTATGGAATCAATAATTGCCGAAGCAATTCGTAGCCATCTTGACAGGCACAGATTGATTAATGATTCTCAACACGGTTTTACAAAGGGGCGTTCCTGTCTTACGAATTTACTAACTTTTTTCACTAAGGTGTTGAGGTAGATCATGGTAATGAATATGATATTGTGTATATGGACTTCAGTAAGGCTTTCGATAGAGTTCCACACCAGAGGCTATTGAGGAAACTTAGGGCACACGGAATAGGAGGAGAAATTTTTTCCTGGGTAGAGGCATGGCTGACAAATAGACAGCAGAGAGTTTGCATAAATGGGGAGAAATCAGAATGGGGGCACGTCACAAGCGGTGTTCCTCAGGGGTCAGTGTTGGGCCCGTTGTTGTTCACAATTTACATAAACGACATAGATGAGGGAATAAATAGCGACATAAGCAAATTTGCTGATGACACCAAAATAGGCCGTCCAATTCATTCTAATGAGGACATTAGAGCACTCCAGGATGATTTGAATAGACTGACGCAATGGTCGGAGGAGTGGCAGATGCAGTTTAATATTGACAAATGCAAAGTTCTAAATGTTGGACAGTTAAATAACCATACCACATATAAACTAAATGTAGATCTTAATACTACCGATTGCGAAAAGGATTTAGGAGTTCTGGTTAGCAGTAACCTAAAACCAAGACAACAGTGCATTAGTGTTCTCAATAAAGCTAACAATTCTTGGCTTCATATCTAGAAGTATAAATAATAGAAGTCCTCAGGTTGTTCTTCAACTCTATATATCCTTGGTTAGGCCTCATTTAGACTATACTGTCCAGTTCTGGTCACCGTATTACAGAATGGATATAAATGCTCTAGAAAACGTACAAAGGAGGATGACAAAGATGATCCCCATGTATCAGAAATCTTCCCTGTGAGGATAGACTGAAGGCCCTGAATCTGCACTCTCTCGAAAGGCGTAGAATTAGGGGGGATATGATCGAAGTGTATAAATGGAAAACAGGAATAAATAAAGGGGATGTAAATAGTGTGCTGAAAATTTCCAGCCAAGACAGGACTCGCAGCAATGGTTTCAAGTTGGAAAAATTCAGATTCAGGAAGGATATAGGAAAGTACTGGTTTGGTAATCGAGTTGTGGATGAGTGGAACAAGCTCCCGAGTACAGTTATTGAGGCTAAAACGTTGTGTAGTTTTAAAAATAGGTTAGATAAATACATGAGTGGGTGTGGGTGGATGAGTTGGACCTGACTAGCTTGTGCTGCTGGGTCTGGTACAGTGCTCCATCCTTGAGTGGGGATGACAAGACTGGGTGGGTCATTGGAATAATCCGGGGGGGGGGGGACATGGACCTGCTCCGCATGGGTCAGTAGGCCTGTTGCAGTGTTCCTTTTCTTATGTTATCACCTAAGCTCATGAAAACGCTACCCAGCGCTTGAGCGCACAAGAGTGCTACCCAGCACCACCTGGGCGAATGAGAGCGCTACACCAGACTCACCTAAGGGTTCAGGCGCAGCAAAACTGGAGCTAATATCTGTGCCTGAGTTCATAACCGGATCCAAACAGATGCCATGAATCATATTAACCACGATGAACCCACACGTTTCTTGTGAACCCTCCGTGGTACTGGGTAACTTGTGAACCCTCAGTGGTGCTGGGTAACTTGTGAACCCTCAGTGGTGCTGGGTAACTTGTGTACCCTCAGTATGGCTTTAAATACGTTCATCCTGTTGTACAAAACTATTACATGACCTTTCGGCTGGTTTTCCATGGTTGTCTTGCCTGTGTATATATATATATATATTTAGTGAAGGGATTCAGGGAAACCGGTTATTTTCATATAGTCGGACTTGAGTCCTGGAAATGGGAAGTACAATGCCTGCACTTTAAAGGAGGGGTTTGGGATATTGGCAGTTTGGAGGGATATGTTGTGTATCTTTATATGTGTATGCTTCTAGACTGTTGTATTCTGAGCACCTCTGCAAAAACAGTGATAATGTGCGAGTGTGGTGAAAGTATTGAATGATGATGAAAGTATTTTCTTTTTGGGGATTTTCTTTCTTTTTTGGGTCACCCTGCCTCGGTGGGAGACGGCCGACTTGTTGAAAAAAAATGTATATATATATATATATATATATTACACACACACACACACACATTCATATGTATATGTATTCCCCCACACGGGGGAATTGAATGATAGCTCTAGGCCTTTGGTGTGGAAATCAGCAGATCATCGGGGACTTACAATGTTGCAGAAATGAGTAGGAAGCCCAAGGAGATTAGTTTGAGCAAAACGTTCCCCTGAATGAATCTGCTTGGACTTTGGGAGTGTGAAGGGTCGGTATTCGAGACTACTCATTACTTTGTGTTAGGGTCATGTACAAATTTTGAGATGATTTTTTTTCGTGTTCTTGCACGCAATTTTTAACGAAGAAATGAGCAACATAGTGTTTCCTTTGTGTTGCTTTTATTTTTCTTATTGGCTTTATAAAATAGTTAAGGTCCGATACTAGTTGTAAAAAAAAGTTGAAATACATACATACATAACCCCATTACTCCTCCTAAGTACGAGTAACTTCAACCTTATTGGAGGGAAAACTTTCAAGTTGCCGTAGTTATTGAACTCAAGAGTGCAACCTTTGACATGTAGGAATCGAGGAACACTGCAGTAAGTCTTCTGGCTTTCATTGCTCTGCGGAAATCTCCCACTTAGGCTGACAGATTTATTACCTCATTTATGAAACCCATCCTTCGATGGAATATGATAAGGAAACTTGCTTCTAGCAAACAAAAGGCAGCCGCACACCGCGGGTGAACATAACTGATAAATCACGACGCCACCAGGCAGGCGACAGGGGAAAGGATTTTTCTCAGTTGGTATTGTTCTTCATAGCTTAAGTGCTCGCTTTTAATCTACTCTTACATACAATTTTTATTTTCAGATTACTAAACCGGCATCTCCTGTTAAAACTTATTTTCAGTAATTTCTAAATAGAATAGCTGTAATTCGCTAAAGAAGAAGTAATATAGTTGCCTTTTACAGAGTTATACCACGTTAACTACTGTAAAACTACCGATAGTTCAGAGTAGATTTTAATAATATTTTATCATACTGTAAATGTGGCTAGGCGGAGTATTGATTTCGAAAGTCAGTTTCGTTTTTAATCTCCCATAATTTGTGTTCACCTAGTCGAGTTTGTAAAGGTTTAATGCCAGCATGTGCGTGTAGGATAACCTGAGTCACCTTGCACTAATGATAGCGATGGATATTGTGTGTACCACAGCGTACCTGCGGGCATAATATTCTTCTATGTTTACTCCCTGACTCATGACGCTCTCTTCTCTTTACAGAGTCCCATTGGCTCTTCAGCTGTGACGTAGCTGTACTACGGGCCACTGATTGCGTAGAAACTGTGACATCAGGCTCTGATTCTGTCATTGGCTTAATATATGAGTGACGTAGTGCAGTGGAAAGCTGACTGCCTGCTTACTGGCCAAGAGCTAGTGACGTCACAGGGCTTACACGTCTCAGGAACTCTGCTTTTCTTTCATTGAGAGCAAGTCGTCGGGATAGCGAACATCTGAACGTGGACGCTTGAGACACTGCTTTAGGTGGGTTCGTATACCGGACTCTGCGGAGGGTACACAGCCATCGGTTTAACAAGGAAAATACTTTGATAATTTACATACATCTTAGTGAAAAACAAGAAGACCCGTTGTATGCATCTGTGAAATGTTAATATGAAATTAACTATCAATGAAGTTGGAAGTGGATAGTGAAGAGATTAAAGCAGTGTGGTGTAAGGCCCATAGTTTTATTACCGGCGCATAGTCTTCTGGAAAAAATGAGAAGGTAGAGTGCACTACCTCACAGCTCGAGAATTCCTGTGTGGTGCTTGCCGTGTGTAAGCAAGAAGGTGCAGCAGAAAGTGAAGCTGGAGTGGAGGGCAGGAGACGCGCTGTGGTGGGTGTAGGATGTGCCAGGGGAGTCAGGAGTGCTCCGGGCGGTGTGACAAGTACAGTAGCAATTCACACAGAAACAGCATGACGATGGGCGGCGTAAGGGGCGGCTCCACACTCAACGAGGTGGGTGTGGCCAGACACGTGCCACACTACGCCTCCACGCCTCACCTATTCGTCTACCAGGCCGCAGAGGACGAGGAAGAGGTTGATCTTGCTCCAAAAGAGGGCAAAGAGCCCATTTATTCCTCCGCCATAGATATTCGCAAAGTTGCTGCTTCTAAGGAGGTTAGATTTTTATAGCTGGTACTTTTAATATATTTTTATGCACTTGTCATGAAAAAAATGCTAATGCATTATACTATTTTTTATTGCAAGTAATGAATGCAACAAAATCATACCTGTAACAAATTAAAAGAAGCCTAGATATTAAAAATGAAAGCTGGATGATTTTTTTTTTAATTTCCAATAAAAATTCTCTTAATTTCTAATTTGTGAGCTTGTGATTCGCAAGTAACAACCCTCGTGGGTACCGTTATCATAGCTTTGTTCAGATAACTTCGTTTTTAATATTGTGTTGACTGAAGCTGGTTAATTTTACAGGCTGAGGCGATACGATGCATCAACGAGAAGTACGACTCTCTGCGAGCACTGACAGACCGGAGGGAGGAGGCAGAAGACCCCTTGGCTGTTACAGATGAAGATGTGTCACGGATCGAGACATTCTTCCGTGGGCACAAGACGCAGTTATGGGTGTGTCGCACACTGGCCAACCTGTACATCGAAGGTGGGGCAGGCGCTACCCACGGCACATGGGAACTCAAGTACACTGGAGTACCTATCCTGCTCCTAGACCAGGGAGAGACGCGCTCCCGTGACAAACGGCGTCTTCAACTCATATTGGCAGAGAAGGGAACAGGATTTGCTCTCTGGAGGGATGTTGTCGATAATCTGACGTCATACCGTGCACAAGAACCACAGTTCCATACCCTCTACCTGTCTTCTGATCACCGCCGGCGTATGGGCTTCTCTTTCAACGACGGACGAGCCGCATGTGAATTCCACAGTCACATCGAACGTCTCACGGCTGATCCGGCCAACATCTCTCTCTCTGGTCCAGGCAAGAAGAAGAATAAGGCGAAAGAAAAAGTTTCAAAGTACAAAGCACCAAAGAAAACAGATATTTCCTCTCCATGCAATTTTCAGCACGTGACCACCGTCGACGCCTGCGACAAAGCGAGATTCTTCTCCCTTCAGGCGTTCTCAAAGGTCAAGGCCAGCACGCCACCACCTGTCAAACCTCATACAGTAGTGGAGCGGCCAGCTGACACCGTAGAAACCAAGGAGTAGGGAGAGACCTTTCCATTTGTTGAACTACCTAAGTGATGTGTTTAAACATTTGTTTGTGATAACTTTGAGCAGTCAGAACGCTGACAGACATTACTGAGAGTGGGTAGGTGGCCCTTTCCACCACTAAACGTGCCAACGTATACCTCTAGCTTGACCTGTACTGGTGCAGAATTAGTATATTGCCAGTGCACGAGTGAAGTGGTATTGATAGAGCAGGACGGTATTAATGAAACATTATTGCATTAGTAAGTGGAGTAGAGAATATTAGGTACAGTATACCCTACTTGAAAGGAGCAGGAGAAACTGTGTAAACTCGAATAAGGACCGATGAACTGGGTTATCCCACTATGACGCCATCATTCCGCCTGCAGTGCTGTGACTCGCCCAGCAGCAGCTTAGCCTGCTCAGCACCCGAGTATTACTGCACGACTACAAGAAGAATACGCAGCTCTTCAAGTGTCGTGATTTAACTGAAAAGAGAAAACTGTGAAACCATGCAGTGATGATTTCATAATTCAAGAGATTTTTAGTGTGTAAATATTTAGATAGAGAATTATGAACAGTGGTTATGTGGCCATGAAACTTTTATATAATATTAGAAAGTTCCTAAATAAAATTTTACTTTCAAACTGTATGTGCCATGAATGACACAGATTATAGAACAGTTTTGTGTGTTTGATTTTGCATGGAGATGAGTGATCAGAAATTGTCAAATCATTTTGAGATGGAACAGAAGGCTACACCGTTTTTATCACGGAATAATTTGAAACTTTAAACAAATACGTTAATAGTTTTTAAAGATCATTATTTGAGAAACTAATAGTCGGACATAGATTTAAAATCATACTTCAGTTAAGACTAGGCCGCACCTGGTCTTGTTACAGCAGCAGAAAATTAGCCTTATAATAATGATAGAGCTTTCATTTTCTGCTGCGCATGTAGGTTACAGCCTTGGCAAAAGGCGCATAAGGACACGTAATACAGAGCCAGCTTTTATTTTAGACGTTACGCTTAGGAAACATGATTAAGTCCTGTTCTACATTGAGTCTTTATGCCCACTATTTGGTTTGTTGCCCCAATCACCAGGGATGAAGGTGTACCATCTTACTCTTGATCACTAGCAGGGCTACCTACTCCCCTTCGTTCATTCAGCATCAGTTAAGGTATCTGAATTCCTGCTTTGCTTTCCATTCAGTGTTGAGATGCATAAAGCTATAGGAGGGTGCCAAAACTGATCAAGATTTTTATATTTTATACATTTTGGGGATGTATTTGCTGAACTTAACTGTGTAAATCAGTTGCATATTCAATCTAGAGATGTATCGGATATGCGCATCCGTGGAACATCCGCACAATTTCTTACATCCGCATCTGCGTCCCCATTTTACTGTAAACAGATGTCCGCATATGCATCCGAATCCGAATCCGCATCAACATCCGCACAATTTCTTATATCCGCATACGCGAAATGTGTCATCCTCATACACATCGCATCCACGGATATCTAAATTTTCACATCCGACAAATCTCTGATTATTCACCAGAGATAAATTCCTGTCATATCAAGCTGATTTTTGCAAATTGTTGCCTGATACCGAGAATTATTTTGCTGTAACTGAAACAGTTGCATATACATTTTTATACTCTTCAAATAACGCTAAACTCGTGTGAGTCATATTCAGCGCTCGACATTTGCATAAAAGTCATTAAACTACCTATGAACACGTTCTGTAAAATCACATAGAATATAACGTATAAAAAATTATATGACTGCGTTAATCTTTTATTATCTCATTCTTATCCCTGGGTCCGCCAAAGGATGTAGGTGACAGTTGGTCGGGGTACATAAGTGTCAACATTGTCTTCAGGAGACTTGAAATGTTCGTTTATTTAATGTTCGAGTTGAACTCCACATCTGTGATTGTTGCTGATATACCCAGTAAACTTGATAGTGGTGTGCATTTTTAGTTTAACTTTAATCTGAAGTTCATTATTAATTAGAATGTTACAATTCATGTACATGTAACTGGTATTAACATTAACCAAAGTACCTTATTTGCCGAAGGCTCTAAGCGAACATTACTTATGCAGTAGGTGTGGTGGTCACGGGTCGATGCCAAGGTCAGGGTGAATCAGGCAGAGGACCGGATGCTGGCATCTCGCCAGAGCATCCCGAGGAGATGAGTTTGTCCACACTACCACGTTTTCAAACTCGTCGGACTTCAACGAACTACAGTCTGTTCACGGTTGAGGTTCTATACACAGAGGTGCATCTCTCATATATATATATATATATATATATATATATATATATATATATATATATATATATATATATATATCACTACGAAAGCAAAAGACTTGGCAGACGATGCAACATCCCCCAATGAAAAGCAGGGGTGTCACTAGCACGTTAAGAGACCATACAATAAGTGTCAGGGGCCCGAGACTGTTCAACTGCCTCCCAGCATACATAAGGGGGATTACCAACAGACCCCTGGCAGTCTTCAAGCTGGCACTGGACAAGCGCCTAAAGTCGGTTCCTGACCAGCCGGGCTGTGGCTCGTACGTTGGTTTGCGTGCAGCCAGCAACAACAGCCTGGTTGATCAGGCTCTGATCCACCAGGAGGCCTGGTCACAGACCGGGCCGCGGGGGCGTTGACCCCCGGAACTCGCTCCAGGTATATATATATATATATATATATATATTAATATATATATATATATATATATATATATATATATATATATATATATATATATATATATATATATATATATACACAAACACTTGTCAGTCCTCAATAATAGCCCACATGGAGGCAGAAACACAAAAGATTAATTGGACTGCATATTTCGACTCCCTGCAGGGGGTCCTCTTCGGCAGATACACAAATGAAAGAACATGAATTTACAGGAAGGTTGCGCCTCTCAGTTGTGCAGGTGGGCATGGATCGTCAGGTCAGCGCGTGGGAGTAGTCAGGGAGTGTGATAACAGGTTGAAGTAGGTGACTGGAACCAACCTTAAAATTTTACCAAGTAATTCCTCTGTACTATGTATTAGGTTGGGTACTGGTATGTACTTCTTAAGGGCAAATTTTTAAATAAGGTATGGTTTCCATTGTCCCTGTGAGATATTAAAATTAGGTGTGGTAGCTATAAGAGCAGATTCTATGATTTTACGTTGTAGTTTGTAGCTGCAGTGCGATATGCGTTTGATGCTGGCAACTTCCTAATGAATATTGTGTTTGTTGTTACTAACATTTTGAAAAACGGCTGAATTCTCCTGTCCATAATATATGAACCCTCTGGTGTTCAGTGATGATCCTATTACATGGCATTCGGCCTGTCTGCCCAATGTATACTTGCAATTAATTTTTTTAGTTTTTCTCTATATGGGTTATTATTGAGAGAAAGCGCACGCGTGTACACACACACACACACGTGTTTGTGTGTGCTGAAAGTTTAAAAATGATTTCAAGATTCAAGATGTTAACTGGTGTACAGATGACATGCAGCCTTGATGACCCTCGTATTGGTCGATAAGTTTCAAACTCAATAAACCATCTCCTTCATGGCTAACTTAAGATCCAGCTGTTGAGTGCAAGTTACTTCGGTAACCAACCACGCTTCAATAAATGTTAATTTCGTGAACTGAAAGCGTAATAGCTACATGAGGCGCTGTATTTTGGTTTCAAGTTTGTGACATTCCTTGGAACTACGTCAGTCAGGTATAAAACAAGTTGTACTTAACTGTTAGCAGACGACTAATGTGAGCTGTTATTTTGTTTAGTTTTTTTTATACATTGAAAGATTCTTTATTACAATGTACAGTTACATCAAGCCTATGTTAGTAAGTTGCAAGAACTATGAGATAATTGTTATATTAGTAAAAAAAAAAAAAACTATGGCCACAAGTAAGAGCTAACAGATTCTTAATATTGCCTGAAAAGGCCCCATAAATTATTTATGCTATTTTTCTTCAGTTTGCGATCATTGCACATTTGACATTCCTCATCATAATACTCTCATAATTGTAAGCAAATGGCTTTGCGCCAACAAATGGTGGTAAAAAGGCACTTTTAGAAAAGAAACTTTATATTAATACAATGTTTCACTCAGTAAGGGCTTTATGAATTACAGGGAATACATATAAATAGTGGTATAAATAAAACAAAGTACATATGTTTCTGCCTGGTCAGGTCAAGTGCTATGTGGCTTGCAGAAGTAAAGTTGCGGTAATGGTATTATATACATGTTTTTATGTAATCCATGTCCTTAATTTAGTTCCCAGTGGGTGAAACGTCATATTAGTATTAGGTTTCTTAGCTGAGAGTGTTTTCTTACCACAATATAGTAATTACTGCAATTGGAGAACCTTTGGTCCAATATTTAAGGTTTAAAGCAAGAGTTTTATATGCATTTTTATTTTATAAGAGTTCTAAGATTTTTATATTTTTAATAAATATGTAATATAAAAGTAATTTCCTTGTGTAATTCATTCTGCAGCTTACATATATTTATGTGTAATAACACTGAGCATAAATATTTGTTAAACTCTTTACTTCAAGCAGCTTTCATATCCTAGTGTACAGTGTAAATAAACTGTATAAATAAATACTGTATTTTTTAATTTTCCAGACGGTGGTATTTTATTTTGGATTTGTTAACCTACACAAACTTTAAATAATACACAAAATATCACCCAATTGCATATGATCAAACACCAGTGAAATACAGTACTGTTGGTCAAACACCAGTGAAATACAGTACTGTTGGTCAAACACTAGTGAAATATTTACATCACAATTTTTAGAAACGTTAACAGTCTGAATGTTATATTTACTACCTGAATTTGATACCTTTCTACTCTTGAGGATCACTTGGCCAAGGGCTGCTCCTTGGTACTAATGAAGGGCTCTTTATGCAAGAAATTGGACTAGTCTTTCTCCTTCATCAGAAAGACCCTCATTGTCTCCCATTCCGCCAGACCCAGTATGACCCATACGGAATTAGCGCTTCCCCTAAATTAAAAAATGTCAACCTTTGAGGACTAGATGACTAGATATCCTTCACCCCTCAAGGGGAGGTTCCTTGACACTGGTGAGGGGCTCTTGATTATATGAATTAAAGTTGTCCTCCATTTATCTGAGTGAAACTTGATTGTCTCCCATTCCTCAGGCGCTAGATGACCCTTACAGGTTTATTATTATTATTATAATCATAAAGAAGCGCTAAGCCACAAGGACTATACAGCCCTTACAGGTTTAGCAGTTCCCCTAAATAATATGTAATAACAATCTTCATGTGACCAGGTAGGATTTTTCCCAGATGTATCCTCCCTTTCCTTGGATCGAGCCTGATTGTCTTCCATTTACCCAGGCATTGTTTGACTCCTTATGGGTACAGCACTCCCCATGAATGTAATAATAATTCCCCAGATGTCAAAGACATCGGAAATTGCTCCCAGTTACTAAAAAGGGACCCTTATGGTTTTAGCATTTCTTTTTGTGAATAATTAACATCTGAAAAATCGAGTAGTTGATTACTGTGCTGCAAATAAATGTATCAACGCTGAGGATCTTTATCTCCCAGCAGACACTAGGGAGATGCCAGGGAAATGCCTCCCATTCCTTGGATCAGATCTGATTACCTTCTGTTCCCCAGGCACTGTACGACCCTTATGGGTTTAGCATTTCCTCATGATGATGATGGCACTGAACAAGATGGTATAGAGATTCTTGAAACTTTACAGTTTTGCTCGACTTTTCTCTGCTTGCTTAAGTCCCTGATAACGTGGTCAATTGCCCCTCAAGGGGCAATTGACCATGTTACCAGGCTGTTGATCCATGGAACTGGGCTAGTCTTCCTCTTCAAACCTGATTGCCTCCCATTACTAAGTAGGTGTATGACCCCTACAGATGTAGCGCTTACCCCTAAATACAATAATAACGTGGCCAATTATCCCTTTCATCCCTTCCATAGAGGTGCCTTGAGGCTGACGAAGGTCTCTTGATCCAAGTAATTGAAGCTACCCTCCCATTCCTTGGATTAAACCTGATTACCTTCCATTACTTGGATCAAACTTGGAATAATATCTAGTTTAGGGCTCCTGGTTAATCCTTTATTTTTAGTTTTATAATACAAGCAATCTTTCCATAGCCAGGCAAAAATAGTTATGGTTTGTGCAATTTGTTTTTTTGGGGGAGAGGGGGGGGGGCGAGATATTAGGAACAAAAATATTTGTTTATGGGAGGTTAAATGTACGTATTTGGTAAAATAATGGGTTGAAGAGTCAGTCAGAGAGGTCTGAAGTAAACACTTCCAAAGCTCCAAGAAGATATAAACCAAGTTTTCCAATGGGCAACAGAGAACAATATGATGTTCAATGAAGATAAATTCCAACTATACTCTGTTATGGAAAACTGGAGGAAATAATAACTAGGACTGAGGATACTACAAACTCTAAACACACAATAGAGCGGAAAAGTAATATGAGGGACCTGGGTGTAGTAATGTTTGAAGACCTCACCTTCAAGGACCACAACAATGTCACTACCACATCTGCGAGAAAACTGATAGGATGGATAATGAGAACATTCAAGACGAGATACTAAGCCAGTGATGATCCTTTTTAAATCACTTATTCTCTCTAGGCTGGAATACTGCTGTACATTAACATCCCCATTCAAGGCAGGTGAAATTTCAGAACTAGAGAATGTACAGAGAACCTTTACTGCACGTATAAGTTCCATCAAACACTTTAACTACTGGGAGTGCCTGGAAGCACTTGATTTGTACTCACTTGAGCACAAGTGAGAGAGATATATCATAATCTACACCTGGAAGATTCTGGAGGGACTGGTCCCTAATATGCACACAGCAATCACTCCACACGAAAGCAAAAGACTTGGCAAGTGATGCAACATACCCCAGTGAAAAGTAGGGGCATCACTGGTACACTAAGAGAAAATGCAATAAGTGTCCGGGGCCCAAGACTGTTCAACAGCCTCCCACCAGCAATAAGGGGCATTACTGGTAGACGTCTGGTTGTCTTCAAGAGGGAGTTGGACAGATACCTAAAGACGGTGCCGAATCAGCCGGGCTGTGGTTCGTATGTTGGATTGTGTGCAGCCAGCAGTAACAGCCTCATTGATCAGGCCCTGATCCACCGGGAGGCCTGGCCGTGGACCGGGTCGCGGGGCGTTGATCCCCGGAATGCCCTCCAGGTAGACTCCAGGTATACCAACACTAGAACAGTCTTCTGAGTGTAATACATATGAATCGACCTTTTTTCGCCATGAGTAACGTACTGGACAAAATGAATGTGCATTACAGCTACAAAGTAAACGTAAGTACTGTACCAGTACTGATTAATTACATAATGGGTTGAAGTTCATTATGCTGGGTTGGGTTACGTTAGGTAAGGCTGGGTTTGATTGGACTGGGTTACTTTGGGTTAAGTTTGGTTAGTCTATATATTAGGTTACATTAGATTAGCAGTAATAGTTAAAATGTTTCTTTTTGTTGTTGTTTATTGTCAAGTCAGATTATACCAAAACCTTTTTTCCTCTTTATTTTTGTTTATTGTGAAGTCAGATTATACAAAAAAAAAAAAAAAAAAAAGTTTTTTTTTTCCAGTTTGCAAAAAACTGAAACTACTTCCAAGGCACAATACGATAAACGTTGGGCAGTTTCAGTTATAAATTTTTACAAAACTCAAGAGCCTCCTGAACTAAATATTTACCCAAATGTGATTACCTCCCATTACTTAGAATTTAATTACTTCTCAGTCCTTCGACTGTAATTACTGTAACTAGTACCACTCACTCTACTGAACTTAGAGTTAATCTTATTATGGTTTTCATTATGAATTGAGTAAATTTTAAATATAGTACGGTTGACCCCCGCCTTACGAATGCATCACGTTACGTTAAAACCGCCATACGAAGCATTTGAACGCAAAAATTTTGCCTCGTCTTACGTGATTCATCCGGGACGCGTCCCACGTGTGGCCTCAGCGCCAATGTTTACAAGTCAGCCAGTGCGGTAGCATCTACGCATACATTCGGTACATTTCACATTATCCCAGTGTTTTTAGTGCTTGTAACTGAAAAATAAGTCACCATGTACCCCAAGAAAGCTTCTAGTGCCATCCCTATGGTAAAAAGGGCGAGAATTAGTATGGAATTGAAAAAAGAGATTAAGGAAATGTGTGCAAAGTGGGTTGAACTGCAAACCTTTACGGATGAAAATCACCCTGACACAGCTACTGCAAGCCGTGTTGGCAACCTGCACAATGACAATGTTACAGCCCATTTTAGGAAAGTCTTAAAAGGAACGGAAGGTACAGAGCTCTATGGACAGACTTGTTGTGCGACAGAGGTCCAGTGGCTCTCAAGCTGGTCCTAGTGACATTAAAAGAAGAAGGGAAGTAACCCTGGAAAAGGACTTGCTACCTCAAGTCCTAATGGAAGGGAATTCCCCTTCTAAACAATAACATCCACACTCTCCCCTCCTCCTATCCCATCAATCATCACCAGATCTTCAATAAAGGTAAGTGTCATGTATTCTATTCTTAGTAGAGTAGTAATTGTGCATGTCTTCTTCAGCTTGTGTGTATTAAAATTAATATTTCATGTGGTAAAAAAATTTTTTTTTTCATACTTTGGAGTGTCAGGAACAGATTAATTTGATTTCCATTATTTCTTATGGGGAAAATTAATTCGGCTAACGATAATTTTGGCTTACGATGAGCTCTCAGGAACGGATTAATATCGTAAGGCAGAGTTCCACTGTATAGACTAAGTTTTTGCCCTGAGATGCTGTGAATTTTTGGGCCTTCAGTGTATCTGTATGTCCTATGCAGTATACTAAAATTTAGATTAGTATCTGAATTTGTATTTGACCGACATTAATAACCTCCACAAATGCTATAGCAAACTGCCTTACTAAATTATTATTATTATAATCATAATTAAGCACTAAACCTATCTTATTAAAATCTCCAACAAATTATCCTTGCAAAAATTCCACTAGGTACTTAAGACATTGTAAGGCTGCCTGAAATGCTCTGCATAACCCTTGGCTTTCTATAAAGTATGCCAATAATATCACCTTTTCTGTAGCGACTGGATACTATTCTTTACAGATATAAAGTTTATTTTATTTTATTACGTCCCATTCAAAGGGCAGGATGATCTCAACGAGTTCAGCGCTTCTCTGTTATTAATATCCTCAATATGCCAGTCAAAATAATGTTAAATGGTCATGATTTTTTTAAATATAACAATTCGTGAGACTTAATTATAGTAAACAAATTACAGTGTTGTTTTGTTGCTGTTTTGTTTTTAAGAGGAAAATGCTAAACCATATGACTATGAGCCATATACGTGCATTGTGTGAAGAATGTGGGAAGTAATCAGGTTCAGTCCGAGGAAGGGAAGAAGGGGGTCCAGTTCCATTGATCAAGAGCTCAGTGTCATCAGCATCAAGGCACTTTCCTGTGAAGGGATGGTTGAAGGGTTACCCAAGGAAGTTAGTACAGTATATGGTACATGTAGTACATACCATCACCTGGTCTCTAGCTGCCTTTCCAAAGTTAAAGCTGTTTCTTGA